TCGCCCCTCCCACCTTCCTCCTCGGTCGCCGCGCGGACGGTCGGACGCGTCCAATCATAGCCCGCCTGGCACCTGCCGCCCGGCCAATCGACGCTCATGTCTCTAAGGCTTGGGCCAATGGTGCGGAGCGTCGGGATACCTCGTAGCGCCCAGCCAATCCTCTAGCGACATTCCCTCACTGGTCCGCCCCGGACCGATAGTGCCCGCCCCCTTGATCCTCCCTGAAGGATGCTCCTCCTCCAGCGCCTCGTGGACTCCGCCTCTGACGGCCCGAAGGGGGAGCGCGGAGAGGACAGCGCAATGACGTCAGGCGGCGGAGCGAGGCTGCGGGCGCCATCTTGGGGCTACCGGGCGGGAGTAGACTTCTGGGTCGGGGAGAGGCAAGGGAGAAGTCTGGGAAATTGAGGCACACGGCATCCCGAGGGCTGACGCGGGGGAATTGAGGCACAGGAACCCCCGGGGGTCGAAGGAAGAAAAGTGAAACACTATTCGTCACGAAGGGGAGAAGGGAAACTGCAGTACCAATCACATGGAGGGAGAAAAGGGAAACCAAGGCTACACATTCACTTTATTAAAAAGAGGGAATTGAAGGCAACAGGAAGGAACAGGGAAAAGACCCAGGGGACTTGTAGCGGGTGGGGAAGAGGGGAAATGTCAGGGAGGGCAAGGAGGGGGATACATGGAGGAAGAGGACAGGCAGGGACAGGTGGTTTCATTTGGAGAAACGGAGTGTGGGGGTAGAGGACCTGAGGGACAATGTGAGAACCTGAGGGAGTGACCCTGTAGCAGACTCTGATCTTCCTTCCAGGGTAACTCGGACCCTGCGCAGGAGAGTGGGGCCCATGTGTCCAAGGGGCTCTGGCCATCCTTCCTCTTCTGGTGCTCAGGGTCTTGGGAGGGAGTTCCCCCAGGACTCTAAGACATGTTTCCAGGGCACGGTGGCTCACGCCTATAATCCCAGCCCCAGCACTTCGGGAGGCCGAGGTCAGAGGATTGCCGGAGACCACCGGTTCCAGACCAACCCTAGCAACTTGGCGAGACCTCATTTCTACAATAAGTCGAAAAAATTAGCCCCGCATAGCCAGGCTCGGTGGCTCAGCCTGTAATCCCGCGCCTTTGGGAGGCTGAGGTGAGT